TACCAATTTATGTAACTTGCATGCTAGTGGTCTGTGGGAATAAATCAGAGTAAATCTTCTTTTACATGGGGAACACCTGCAAACTCCACACAGACCGGAAGGACTTTCTGTCTGTGAGACAACAACTGTAATGACTACACTGCTGCGATAACTGTGCAGAAACAAATAGCCTACAAATGTTAATAAACTGAAGCAACTTTATAACAAAAACTGGAGCAACATTCGTGCATATTGATAAGAATAATTGCTGCTAAAGATGGTTCTAAAGCAATTGAACAATATGGTGCACTTAGTTTGTTCTTTTCCATTTTGGCTTAATTTTCACTTAATTATAATAAATAACTTGTGTAATAATGACATGGTGCAATCTGTTACATATTACATTAGAATTACTTTAATTAATATTTTTTAATTGTTTTTGGTAAAGACAAGATTCCTTAAATTGTGCCCTGATGTGTAAAACCCTGGAATTACCAGAGGGTGGACAGTTTTTTCCATTAAGATTCACTTAAGATACTCTCAAACTTACTTAGTGTGTTGTATTAAAAAAGAACAATAGAAAGTTTTTCAGAAAAAAAAAATCACTATTAAATGTAGTCCATGAAAATGTTGTTTACAAAACATCTTCAGACAAAGTGATTCAAATTAATCTTGTTGTTTTTAATTACACAGTGTACCCAAGTTTTTCTTCTCACTCTGTTCCCACAAATAGGTTTTCTTCACAAGCAAGTCAATTCTGAGTCATTAAAATGTGTGAAACTGAATAGTTTCATCTAATTTGTGGGAGCAAAATGTTTAAAGAAAAAAGGACAAAATTTCGGGAAAGAAAATCTCTACTGATGCCATTTTTTTTTAATTGAGCTCATTTTACCTTAAGGTGACGTGCTGAAATGAAGAAATTATTTCTGTATTGAATTTGCTTTATTTTTAAAACGTATAATCAGATTTTCCTTCTCTTTGACCATTGTAATCCCTTCTCTCTTGTTTTCTACTTTTTTCATGCTTTTACCACACACAAAAATATCTATTCCTTGAGTGAATTGTCAATATAATCCTCATGTGACAGCCCTTTATAACATATCATTACTAAGTATGAAATATTACAGTACACCTCTCTCTACTCTGTTACAAATTATGACACCACTTTAGAATAAGGCTCCCCTTTTAGATGGCTAATAAAAAGTTTATAGATAGGTTATCAATTCTGCTATAAGCACTTTATACATCATTAATAACTGCTTATTATGCATTAATTAAGGGTGACAGAGACAAAATTGACCAGTTTCTTGCCAAATAGTGAGTCAAATCTATTCACCTGTTCATCTAGCATTGTTATATAAAACATTTCAGACTAAGTTACTGTATTTTCTGGCGTATAAGTCACAGTTTTTTTGCATAGATTTGCCAGTTCTGAGACTTATACAGGCAGCACGGTGGCACAACTGGTAGAGCTGCTGCCTCTCAGCGAGCAGGTCCCTGGTTCAAATCCTGGTCCGGGGGCCTTTCTGGGTGGAGTTTGCATGTTCTCTCCATGCATACGTGGGTTTTCTTAAGGTACTCCGGTTTCCTCCCACAGACCAAAAACATGCATGTTAGGCTGATTGTTAACTCTAAATTGTCCTTAGGTGAGAGTGAGAGAGTGAATGGTTGTCTCATTTGTCTCTATGTGTCCCTGTGATGGACTTGCGACCCATCTAGGATGTACCCCGCCCCTCGCACAGTGATTGCAGGACATGGGCACCGGCGACCCCCGTGACCCAAAAATGGAAGAAGTGGGTAAAGATAATGGATGAATGAGACTTATACACCAAAGTGACTTATATTAGTTTTTTTTCCATATTCATAATGCAATGAATTCACAATAATATTTAATACTGTATTTTATCATTGCAATATAAGTATCTACAACTAATATTATATGCTAAATAAATAGGTTTACAAATGCTTATTGTGCTCACAAGGTAGTAACTTAGTCTGAAATGTTTAATATAAAAACTCTAGATGAAATATATAGGTGGCAGATTTGGCTCAGTATTTGGCCAGAAACTGGTCAGCTTTGTTTCTCTGTCACCATTAATTAATGCATAATAAGCAGTTATTAATGGTTTATAAAGTGTTTATAATGGAATTAACAATATATCTATAAACTGAGTAATGGTATTTTATAAAGGACTGTCACATGAGGATTATGGCAATGCTCTCAAGGAATAGATATTTTGGTGTGTGGTAAAAGCATAAAAAATGTATAAAACAAGAGAAGGATTATGTTGGTCAAAGAGAAGGAAAACCTGATTATAAATTAAAAAAATTAAACAAATTCAACACAGAAATAATGTATAAACTATTTATTAGCCATCTATAAGGGAAGCCTTATTGTAAAGTGGTACCCAAATTATATTGTTCTATCATGCTGCAAGGATGCCTACATGTGTCCTTGGTGAACACCAGTCTGTGCACAAGTACATTCTTCGCCACTCTTCCTCTTCTAACCCAACCTGTCAGATCTGAACCAACCCAGAGCATTTAGCGCTGTTTTCCCCTGCTGAACCCTGGTCCACCTCACAGCTCCTCAGGGCCACGTCTCTCGGCCCAGCTGATCACAAGTGCTTCAGCTGCAGCTGACAGCCTCGGGGCTTATGAGATGGTGCTGCAGCTTCCAGACAACAGCATGAAAAGCTCCAGACTATGACAACACGACCCTATATGACCTCTGAGATATATTTACACACAGACACACGCAGGTCACAACCAGCACCACCACACACACTCAGACATGTGCGCACTACGATAAAAGGGACATTCAAGCAAACAGCGACTATTACCATTGACTACTCTGTAAACCTTGTTAAAATTAAACAGAAGAAGGAATATTAGCAGCAATGTTGTAACAAAATGGTATACTCCCTTTTCTGAATGTGTGTCAGAGCTGTTCACATGTTTCAACTTCCCGCAGGTACGTAATGATCACATCTTTTCTTTGTTTTTTTTTTTCTCAGAAAGATAAAGGAGATGTGATAAAACGGTGTTCACCGTCCACATTGTTAACACGAGCAAACACAGCACATTTAATGTCTCATCCTTGTTCAAAGACTCGGAAGCTAAGATATAGAAGCTGACAGGGAGCTGCTGTGCCTCTGCTGGCTTTGCTGTAAACTTTGAAATGAAAGAGAAAGGAGTTATTGGGCACTTTAAAGTTTAATCTGTGCTCCTGATCATTATGTGAAGCTCGATGCTTTCTGCCTGAGGAATCAGTGTTTTTCATTATAAGAAGGGTAATCTCTAGTAATCATAATAAGCCTGGCATTTTCTCTTTATCAGCGTAAAGAAGGCCATTCTTGTCCCAAGGGCTGTGTTATTATCATGTTGTTAGATGTGTGTAAGTGTGTGCTCATTTGTCTTCTCTGGGTGTTGTGATAGTCTAACTCAACACCAGCAGGTCCCCGAGGGGAAAATCAAGACCACGGACAGTCATATGAAGAGCAGACCGGGCGTAGAAGACACCTTTAAAACTGAAGAGAAGAAGGAATCCTGAGCTACTAATTACTGTCAGACACTGAAACAGCCAAGCCTGATGGGAAATGGAGTAAACGAGTTATTCAAAGAGCTCCACAGTGTCAGACAGTATACTTGGTTTCAAACTGACTGGGCCAAATAAAAGGTCCAGCCCATGTGACTGTGTATGGTTGAATAGTGATGCTGATCTCCGTTCTTATTACGCATTATATATATTTATAATACTTTAAATTTTTTTTTTTTTTTGGTTTTTGTTTTGTTTGTTGTTATTTATTTTTGGTATATGAGCATATGTATGTGTGTAAGTGTGGAAATCTGGAAACTGACCAACTGAACTGACCTTTGGGGATAAATAAAGTTGTCTGATCCGGATCACACAACTCGTAGTTAGTTTAGCTGTCAAACAACGACATGCTGTTCAAATCTACTTGTTGATTTTTACTCTTGTGGATTTGTAAATAAAAATGGCAAAAATGACACCCCAAAAGTATAATTCTTCCATTCGTTCTCTAATCTTGTTAAACCCTGTTCAGGGTCGTTGTGCTGGTGTTTGTCCCACCAGTTCACAAAGTCTGGACACTGTTGCTAATCTCCAGTCTAATGCAGAGCTGACACAGACACATAGACTCACTCACTCTTGGTCCTGAAGACCATTCAGAATTTTAAGTTCAACTAACTTGCATGCTTTTGGACAATAGGAGGAATCCAGAAAAAACTCCACACAGAAAGACCCAGCCAGGGTTCAAACCCAGAATATTTCTGCTGTGAAGCCACAGGACCGTTTTTAACTAGCTGAACCACCGTGCAGCCATTAATGCACTGATGTTTTTAAATTTTGATTGGTAAATTAAACTTTTGTGTATTTTAAAATTATGGACCATAATGCAAACAAATATATTTGTATACAGTAGTCTCTCATTTATCACGGGGGATCCATACCCTAAGCCCTGAGATGAGTGAAAAACTGTGAAGTAGGAATAGTAGTACAAGTAGCAAGTAGTAGTATATTGTAGTATGTGTATATAAATGTAACCCCGTGGTTTTTGTTCATGTCGGTTGTAATTATTAGAGAACTCATAAATAAGAACATGGAGTTTAATATATGTTCAGTTTGTGTTTATGGAATATGCAAAACTATTGTGTTTGGAGTTTAATATATGTTCAGTTATTGTTTGAAAAAAAAAACCCAATGTAACTGTAATATGTGGTTGCTTGGGATTTTATTTTGGTGGTCGGGGAAGGAGGGCTTCCGGTACGAGAGGGGAGGTGACGAGAGCGACAGGGAAGATGGAGGACATCACTGTTGCTGTGAACTGTCACTGCTGCCGTGGACTATTGCGGTGGGGGAACACCCCACTGAACTGCTGTTCTTGCCAGTGAGGGGGTAGACAAGGACTCCCATCGACCTGTGGAGGTTGAAGCTGCGTGGGTGACTAACCCCGTGGAGAACAATCCCGTTAGGTCGCTAGCTCTGTGGCTACCGCTAGCGGGCTTCGGCGAACGGTTGGTGGCTAGCCAGCCGGGAGAGACGCGTGGACCTCGGAGAACGGTTGGCGGATAGCCAGCTGTGTGTAACGCGAGGACCTCAGCGTGGATTCTTCAACCTTGGGGAGGACATTGGACAGAAGCAGACGGACTACGGCACGTACGACCTCCTGGAGAGGGACGTATTCAGGTGATGCGGGACATGGTTGTTGGGGACGTTAATGGGAAGAGCGGGAAGCGCGCGAGTGCACCAACATCAGGCCTGCGACGACCGAGACTAATTTTTAGCTGCCGGCTTTAAGTTTCCTTTCTGTTTAACGAGGTTAATCGTACCATTTCTATTTCATTACTGACTGAAGAAACTGTGCTATTGTTCATTAAACTGTTTATTTGTTTAAAACGTATGCTTATTCTACTGTGTTATACTTCATGGTATAAGGGGTATACATTTAGAATATTCAGGTAGAGATACCAACCAATTTAAAGAACTCGGGTTAGCCACCCCCATAACGCCAAGGACGCTAGGGGGCGCTACATATATATATATATATATATATATATTTATATATATATATATATATATATGTGTATGTATAAAGGCATTTTAAAAACTTCCCACACTCTGCAATATTCTAAATAATGTTTCTAAACTCTAAACGCTCTAAAAGCGCACAGAATGTCATGATTTCAGCTCTCTGCCTCTGCTGCTCTCTGCCACCTGCAAGCGCTCTTGGACACTTCTCCGCTCTGCACAGAGAACAGCTGATCAGCTGCAGCAGGTAGTTTATCCTGCAGTATGGGCTACACAAATATGCAGCAGGTGCTAAATAATGTAAAATATTTTATTTTAAATAAAAATCACATGCCAATCGTGAGGCTCATCCATCAGTCAGCCAATTGTGTATCATGTCCAATCTTATTTTGAAAAACCGCGATAGAGCGCGTCTGCGATAAACGAACCGCGACGTAGCGAGGGACTACTGTATTTGTATTAATTGAGTCTTTTATGATAGTTATCTGTTTTATTTTAAGGACAATCTAAAACGATCACTTAAATAAAAAAGGGCAAATATTTGTTTCTTCTGAGCGTGTTTATACATCTAATACCAAAATGTCTCATAAACCACTGGACATCTTTTTATTCAAACTTGTATAAAGTTAATGCTGGATGTATGACTCAGATCAGAGGGTCTCACTGGCACAAATTTGGCTGTAATTTTATAGACATTAACCTGGAAGTAAGTCTGGCAGTGCATATTTGAAGACCCCCACCTCCATACACACACATCTTGAAATATAATTGCGTTTCACATCCTACAGGATATACGGTCCATTTTCATGAATTTTAAAATTGTCTTTTCATGACATCATAATGGTCACCAGTATCTTCTCCATAATAGCCGGAGTGCTTGCACCCTCAATTTCTCCTCGGTGCTTTTACCCAGATGCAGCTTGGGGACACCACGGCACTCACACAAGCAGCTGCTAAAAGCTGCCCCCCATTGACTCTCACCTTTCAGTAACACAGATAAATACCAAGCTTTAGTTTTAGTAGGCAGTCTAGGCATGTCTGTCTGTGCCTATTTGTAAATGTAACAGCCCAAGCACCATGAAAGATGTTATTTTAAGAAGAAATTAAAGTTTAATATACATGTGACACCACACTAGCCTGAAATGGGGCCATGCTGACCTGCTTTTAGCTATTTTTAAATCCCAGATTTGTTCCTAAAAAGAAAATATCCAGTTTACAATGGTCATTATTTATCATTACCAAAGAAAGCCTGAAGCAATTTAGAACAAATAGGGGTTGTTTTGAAGGTTGCTTTTGTCTTTCTTTTTTTGTTTTGTACTCGGAGGAATCTGCATCTTTGTGCACAACTTTTAAAGCAAGACACCCTTCAGCTATGATAATCTCTGCAGGTTGATAATTAAAGGCAGCTGAGATCAGTTGTTCCATCAGAGCAGTGGAAACATCTCAGTTTTCTCATCAGAGAGGAGTTGTTAAAGGGCTGAATTGGGAATCGCTGTTTATTTGATTTTTTTACAAGATGTGTGCGTTTCTGGAGGTAGTGAGATGATTATTCCCTCTAAGGTTTATTTTTGAACACTCAATTAAAATGTTGCTCAGCCATCCAAATGATTATTTGTTTATTTGTCTTTTGTTGACTGCACACAATCCTGCACCCCCAAGTCACATTGGCCTCTTGTTAATTATTTTGTCAGCCCCTATATCTCTTTTAATTGCTGTGAGTTTGTTTATCTTGGGAATCAAATTGAGTTTGGGTGGAGGGGGGTCGATTTCTGGAGGCAAACTAACACCGTTCAGCCTGGAAGATACAGTAAATGACTCTATATCAAATTGTCTGACAGTAAAAATATCTTTAAATGTCACTCTGTACAATGTACAACACCTTGCATAGTGTTTTTCCATTAACCCCTTTCCTTGCAGAGTGTTTGAGAGAGGTGTTCCTTGGGGCAGTTCCTGCTCCTCCGCCATCTACGGTAGTTCAGATGTAGATCACCCCAACTGATCAAGGCTCCAGTTATTTAAGGCAGAGTTGAACCGTGAGTCTTTGTAGGGACGTTACATGTCGCATATTGACAGTCCTGCTCCTGCTTTAAGTATATTCTTTGTTAAACTTCCAGTTTTAACAAAGCTTTTTCCTGTTCTTTCTCTGCAAAACCCTTTGTGTGCTCTTTGAACCAAAGCATTCTTCTGCTGTTCCAAACCTGTACCTCATAAAATCCTGAGAAGTCAACTCAAGCCGCTTCTCATCCTCAGCTCTATTTAAGGGCTATAGAAGCGTTAGACATGCAGAAATGATTAAAAGTTGCTCAGCTGACGACCTTATCTGTCCTATATTACACTTAACAGTGTTAAAGTGCTGTGGGCTTTAAATGTCTTTTACAAGGATGGGTTAAATTTGCTGGGTACAGAATAATTCTGTTATCAGACAAGCTGGTGCGACTCATCTTAACTCAAAAACAGGTCATACTAACCTAAATATAAATCCAAGTGTACTAGTAGCTCAAAAGCACCTTTAAACAATCATCTTCATTATTATTTTTTATATAAAAGTGTAAAGCTCTGCTTTCAGTTTCATTGAGTCAAACTGTGTTTTTTTTTGTTTTTTTTTATAAATAAACTTGAGTCCTAGCTGCAAACAGCACTTTTTTTTTTTTTTTTAAATTAACAGTCATCAATTGAAAAACTGCAAAAATAAAACATAAAAAGGCAACATCCTGATGCATGCTCAATAATCCAGGTAGAAAAATCTAAAAAAGTTAAATCTGGTCCTCTGGACATTCAAAACGCTAAAAGAGCACATGTTTTTTTTTTGTTTTTTTTTAATGTCCAGAGGACCAGATTTAACTTTTTTAGATAAAAAGGCAACATTCCTCCTGGCACATCAATCAATGTACATGCCAAAATTATAGATGGACAAGTTGATCCAACTTCTAATTGCAAAAGCAATGTCTGCATGGGTATTATTTATACTACAGTATATTATATAAGCTTTAAATAGTGTTTCAGAGACCTGATTCACGCACAGTTCTCTTGCAGTTATGTATTATGTTTTATGATTGTGTGTGTGTGTGAATGAACTGAATAAACTATTTAGTTATTGCTCTATTTGTTGTGCCATTGCATGGCTCAGCATTGCTTCCAGCAGACAAACACAAATTGGCTTCCAGTCTAAAATCATGCATCAAATATGTGAAGTTAGTCTAAATAAACCAAGTGAATCATTTCAGCACAAGTAATCACGTAGAACAATAAAGTGGTAGAAAACAAGGGAAACAAGCTGATTTATGTACATTGAAGAACTATTTCCAGTAACAGATAGTGGTGGAACTCAGATACAGCTAACACCAGTGCAAAAACACCTTCACTCAGCTGGTTAGCTAACTGATAATGGCTAGCTAAAAAAAAAAAAACAGTTGCATGTAAAAAATGTTTAGCGCTAAATAAATTTGATTAACATACTTTTTCAACAGACAAGTTTATTCTCTTTCAGGGGCAGCATGTGGCTCGGGAGTTTTCCATATTTTATTTTTTGTTCACATCCTGCCCTTATATTTAGTTTGTTGCCAACTCAACGGTTTATACTGCTCTGACATGTCTAATGGTGTTTTCTGGTGTCATTTGAGTTGTTTTCTTTCCCATTTCTGGCCGGACATGATCATATTGATTTTTATTTTTCAGATCAGTCATTGCAAAAGAAACTAGCACATTCAGCCCTTTCTATAGACAGCAAAATTCTCCTTGATTACATTTCCATTAAAAAAAGTTAAATATACAGTATCAACTGTGTTTCATGTAAATGCATTTTTGCAAGTTGCCTATTCCCTCTTTTCAGTGCAGTAATGTATGAGAGCGAAAGAGGAGCTGTGAGAAGATATTTTAAAACTTTATAAAATAAATAAATAAATAATACAAACTGCTAAGAGTGGAATGGACTGCTGTGGCAACATCAATCATTTGTTCAAACATAAGCCATAAAAAAAGAGCAAACCAAAGTGAGAAAATGTAAAGAGAAGGAAAAAAATATTAAGATAGACATAATCTACTTCTACAAAAAACAAAACAAAACAGTATGTAAGCTGCTCATAGAAACAACAAATGTTTATTGATATTTGTTAAAGTGGTCATTTTATAATTTAGTCAGATTGAACATATATTACAGATATCCATAAATTCAGTTCAACCAACCTAATACCTATCCAGTATAATATGATAAATACAAAAAATTACAGTAGTCCCTCGCTACTTCACGGTTCATTTATCGCAGACTCGCTCTATCGCATTTTTTCAAAATAAGATAGAACAACACACAATTGGCTGATTGATGGATGAGCTGCACAGTCGGCATGGAATTTCTTATTTGAAATGAATTATTTTAAATTATTTACGTGATGCACATTTGTGCAGTCCAGAGCTCTAGAAAAAAAAACTTCCTCCTGCAGCTTTGTGCAGCCCTTACTGCTGCAGCTGATCAGCTGTTCACCGTGCTTTTTTTTTTTCATTTAACATTTATTTATACAGGTTAATCCCACTGAGCCTCTGGGATTCATTTACAAGAGACACCTGATTTGACCAAAGAATGAGCACAACAGTGGACAACAACAACAATAGAAAATCATGAAGGATGCGTACAATTTTTTTTTTTAACAAGTGAAAATAAAATGGCAA